TGCCAAGAGCCGCTGTGGCTGCTCCATCCCTGGGAGTGTTCCAGGCCAAGTTGGACGGGGCTTGGAGCAATGTGGGCTAGTGGAAGGTGTCCCGGGGTGGGACTGGATGGGCTTTAAGGTCTCTTCTAACCCAAACCAGTCTGGGATTCTGGGATAATCACTGAGCTGGAGACTGAGATGACTCCAAGGTGAAACAGAGGAGCCTATTCCATGTTTGCACAGAAACACCAGTGCAGCACAAACTGGAATTCTTATCATAACCCTTTTAGACCTCCAGGCTACAAAATTATTCCCTCCCAGAGTTGTTTTAAGTGTCTTTAAAGCCAAAAAGCTCAGGTATTTAGCTGCTTCTCCTGTGAAAATATTTCTTCTCCTTAACCTTCCTGGTAGACAAATTAAAGACATATAAAACCGCATTCATGATAACAGTAGAGTTTTAGCTACTCTAGTTGAATAAATACAATTATCAACTCTATTACTATATGCATTTGGAGCCAAACTTTTTATTGGCATCAATTGCGTGGTTATGTTGACTTTATTCCACCTGATGTTTTGCCCTGTGCAGCCTTTCCTTTAATCCACTTACAAGACCAGTCCAGGCTTCACATGATAAACAGCCTCTAATAATATCAAACAAATAAAATTTCCAGTAGAGCAGTTGTTGGCCCAACAAATATTCCAGTAAAGGAATATTATGTAATAAACCCCAAAATAAGCAGCAGTTGTCTGCTTGGGAAATGGATTTTATTAGCCTGAGGTTTTTGGAGCTCCAGGAGCTCACCCACAAAAGGCAGAACAGTGTGCAGCACCAAGGTCCATGCGGAGTTCCCAGAGGGAAAGCTGATCTGAGAGAAAACAATCCAAATAATGGGAATGACAAATGCAGGGTGGTGCCCACATGGGCACAGTATGTTTCCTGCTGCTCCTCACAACATGGGAATGCTGCAGGAGGTGGGATGTGCTGGGCTGGGCATGGGAGGCAGATGCTGAAGGCAGTTATAGTGACAATGACAGGAACAGGTACAGGGACAATGCCCTGAGGAGCTGGAGATGGCTGAGGATGTGGTCAGGCTGTGGCTGTGTGGGTCTGGTGCACAAGTGGCTTCTTAATGTGGTTTGGGTCTGTATTTCTCCATGTTTTTCAAACCTGTATTCATGGTTACTGATGTAAATTAAATACATGTATGGAATCCTCAACTGCTGCTATTTAGAGCAACAAAAACAGTTCTCCTTTGCTGCCCATGCTGTCCTGCCTTCCAGACTTATCCAGGGCTTTCCAAGGTCAACACATCTTTATTGATCTGGCACCAAGAATATCCCTTTGAATGGAAAAATGCCCCCCAGAGCCTCTGCTCCTGGAGCCTCTTGCTCCCACTGTCCTGGTGTCTGGGGACAGTGGCAGCCCAGATGTGACCTCTGTGGTGACACTGCCCTGAAGAGGCTTCCTGTGGGAAAGCCTTGCTGGGATCACTCCCCTTGTGCAGGTTGTCCTGGGTCATTCCAAAGGCTGAAGCCAAGGGGTGGGACAGGGCTATGTGTGATTGCCTGGGAAACTGGGTCCCCAGGCTGTTGCCAGTGGTTCCAGGCCTGGCTGCCAGTTGATTTAGCGACTGGAGCTGCTGACCTGTGCCAGAACAGTGTTGGAGATGCCTCAGGGCTCTGCTCCATGGACATGCCCTTGGCATTCCAAGCAGGCACAGCATAGTGTGCAGACCTGCTGTGTCCCAGCTCCACAGGGTTTCCAGGCAGCACACTCAGGCACTCAGGGACTCCAAGTCATGGCCAGGAGAGATGTGGATAGCAAGAAAAGGACCTGCCATGACAAGTGAGGCATTAGTAGCTCTGACATGGAATCATAGACTGGGCTGGGTTGGGAGGGACATTAAGGATCATCCCATCCCAACCCCTGCAATGGCTAGGGACATCTTCCACCAGCCCAGGTTGCTCCCCATCCAGTCAACCTGGCCTGGAACACTCCCAGGGACACAGCTGCTCTGGGCAACCTGTGCCAGTGCCTCAGTACCCTCACAGGGAAGAGGATTTGTAGCTCTCCCCAGCCTGAGTTGTTGCTCTGCCCCTTGTGACTGTGGTGATATAATGATGAAGTAAGATTTTTGAGTGCAAGGTCAGTGATTTCCCTCTCTGTCCAAGGTCACCCTGAGCCTCTGAGGCTCAGGTGGTGTGGCTCAGGCAGGTGTGCAGCGTGTGCTGCCTGGATTTATCATGAGATATATAAATAAATCTGCTTGAGATATGCAAAGCATCATGTTTGTCTCTCCCTTCAACACAATGAGCTGCTCTCACAGTGCTGCTTTGCTCTGGTCACACTCTGAATGAGGGAGGGAAACAGTTACTGATGGGATTTTGTGTCTAGGGATATTTGTCTATCAGAGAATCCCACACTGGTTTGGGTTGGAAGGGCCTTACAGTTCATCCCATTCCACCCCCTGCCATGGGCAGGGACACCTTCCACCAGCCCAGGTTGCTCCAAGCCCCATCCAACCTGGCCTGGAACACTCCCAGGGATGGAGCAGCCACAGCTGCTCTGGGCAACATAAGATCTAGTGATCTGATGATCCACAGACAAGTCTCTTAGCCTATATCCTTTTCCCTCTGCCCCCCTCAGCTGACAATGCTGAAGATGATCTCCACACACACGTTTGAGCACTGCAGAGGGTTCTCCGTGGAAGCTCCAAGCTCAGAACTGCACGAGGAGTGCAACTTCTTCCTGACTGCTGTGCGCCTCGCCTCACTCAACCAGATCCTCGACCCCTGGGTCTACCTGCTGCTCAGGAAGATCCTCCTCCAGAAGTTCTGCCAGGCAGCCAACGCCGTCTCCAAGTGCTCCAACACTGAGTGGAAGGAGAGATCGATCACCTTGACTGAGGAGATCCGACGGACCACGGCTTGAGGGGACACTGAGCCACTGTCATGGGAGCTGCTCCTGCCAAGGGGTGGCTTGAGACCTTACTTTGAACTGGGTGTCTGTCCTGTGTTGGCAGCCTAACATCCATGTTAGCTTGGCTGAAAATGGTGTTACTGCTGGACTTGAGTGCCAAATTATTCATCCAGTGTGCCAGAGATTCCCAGAGACAGCATGATAAAGATTCCCAGGGACAGCAGGACATTCTGTTGTTGTGCCAATTATAACTGGGCTGCAGAATGTGATGTTTTGTTGGCCTAAACCAGAACTTGAAGGAATTTACTTGCCTTAAGGTAGGAAAAATGGTTCTCCTGTCAGGGAACAGATTCAACTATTGAATTCCTGAAGGGACACACTCCTATGTGTATTTTAATACTAAGATTATCTACTTCAGGGGGTCCTTCTTCCTCCTTTTTTTCTGAGGGAGAAAGAAGCAAAGCCCATGAGAATTAAAGGAAGAGAGAATGAAGAGATTTGATTTGGATGTCAGTGGGTTAACACTGAGCAGGCTGTGCTGTTCCACTGCCAGTCCATCATTCTCCTCTGAGAAATGAAGGTAGCACAAGTCTCTTGACACATGGATTTGTCCTGATAAATACTCATCCATGTAGAAGTTGAAGGAAACTCATCTGCAGAACAGGATGTAGCACTGGGACAAAGGGGGGAATCCGTGGGGTTTATTTTCAGTGGAAGCCTATGGAATACCCAGTCCTGGTGAGGATTGATGTTTGCACAGCACACCATAAAGCTGCTTCGAGCAGATGGAGAGGAAGCCAACCAGGCAGTCTGTGCTCCTCTTCCTGAGGAATAATGGCAAAATCACTGTTTCCATGGGAGCTGTTTTACTGGGAAATGCACATGTCCAGCAGTAAAATGAGCAGCAAATGGTTTGGAAGTAACAGGGATGTTACTCAGAGCTTCTTCATCCTGGAATGTCCTACAAAGTGGCCAAAAAAACACCAAATAGTTTATTTCTCCTTTCCTCCAAAGGGATAAATCTGAGTGCTGTGGCAGCTCTGAGAATTCTCAGCCCAAAGCAGACTGGAAGCAGTGGGTGGAAGTGTGTGAATTAGCTCTGTCCCCCAGGTGGCTTCAAAGTTTGATTTAAAACTCCGTTCTAATCCATTTGAGGTCACATCTGAGACTTATTTTTTAAAAAGTTCCATTTTAAACTCGTTTTCTTCATCCCTTTGTAGCTGAAAACCTCTAACATCTCCTGTTCCATGGCCTTTGGAGTGAAATTCAATGCAAATACAATTGGATATGTTATAGCTGATATACCACGTGCCAGGTATGGAATTCAGGAGCCTTAAAGGCAAATGGAGTCTGCAGTTGTCAGGAATTTCTTGCACAGAACCTTTATTTGTCCTTTTCTCCCTTTGTTTATTAAAGTAACTCCTCAAAACAGGATCTGACCACTCACTCCTGTTCTGCTGCCACCTGGTCCCACTCCTTGTCCTCATGTTATCCAGGTGACATTCCAGTGCAGCATGAAAGCCAAGGCTTAGCTTTAATTCAAGAGCCAGCCCAAATTTAATGGAATAAATGCCTTTTCCAGTGCTGAGCTGACTGCCTCCTTCAGGTCCTTCCTTCTGCTCTGTGCTAAGCTACTCCTGAGTGTGACAACCTGCTCAGTGGTGATTCATTCACTGATCAGAGCTTTGGGGAGCATAGTGGAGCAAAGTGTTACTCATTCTCCTTGAGAAAGTGCCTTGCAGCACTCAGACTCTCCTTTTTTTTTGAGACTATAAAGAGCCTGTTCTGTGCAGAGGATCTGTATTGTTCCCTCTGTGTACATTAGCTTTGGGAAAGAAATAAACAGACCTAGTCACTTGTGAAGTATGTCGGGATGACCTCAGCTGCATCATTCTTGGTTGAGACATTTCTGAGCAGCACAGCTTCCAGAGCTCACAGATTAGCTGGGATCATGTGTGGGATAGGCAGGGAGAAGTTCTGTCAGGAAGCGGGAATCCATCTCACATTTATCAGCTCCTTTGTAGTAACAGAAGGAGAGAGCTATGTCTCCTGAACACCATGGATCACATATGTGCTTCTGAGAGCAGCTCTAACATGCCTCCATCAGTTTTGGAGCTGCTGTTCCTCATGTCAGGAGTGGTTTCACTTTAGCTCACTTCAAATTCTGCCATTTTAGTGGATATTCACAATATATTTGGATTTCCTATCCATCTGTGGGTGTGGTGACATGAAAAAGCTACTTCAGCTATCAAAGTGAGAAGGAATCTCTGCTTTCCATTTGTTTACAGAAGAGTCAGAGCACTTCAGTTTTGGAGCTGCTGTTCCTCATGTCAGGAGTGGTTTCACTTTAGCTCACTTCAAATTCTGCCATTTTAGTGGATATTCACAATATATTTGGATTTCCTATCCATCTGTGGGTGTGGTGACATGAAAAAGCTACTTCAGCTATCAAAGTGAGAAGGAATCTCTGCTTTCCATTTGTTTACAGAAGAGTCAGAGCACTCCAGCCAC